TTGTAATTTCACCCCATCGCCTCTCCATGTCCCAAAGTGTCAGTAAAATATCTGTAGTGCAGTTTCTAAAGATGAAAAGCCATTTGGGATATTTTCTGTTCAGAATCTCAGCTTTTTCATCACAGCTGATGTTGCCTCAGTTTCTCAGCAGCTGATATTCCTGCAATATCACTGAATTTGACTGAGTGGCCAGCACTTCCACAGTACTCACCACCTTAAAGTATTTTAGCAAAGACACTTGTACCCACGTCATTCAAAAAGTCACCAGCTGCAACTGAAAGTGTTAGGTTGTGATCTAGAAAAAAGCCCTACTTCTGATTACACCTGTATGGCTTGATATAACTTCACACTGCAGATAAATGTCACATGCAAATAATTCTGTCATCCTATTGACACACGGACTAACGCCTTTGAAAAAAAAAAGAAAAAAAAAAAGCAAAGACAAAAAATCAGTAGCCTCCCCTGTCCAGCCTCCTTCCCCCCAAAATGAGGAGGTTTGGACAATCCACTCTCTATGCCAGCAATACCCTCTTTATTCCAACAATAACATAAATTCTTGTTATTTTACTGCTTGAAATGGAACATGAAGACAATGACCGTGAGCTCTAACGAATTGCATGTTCTTAGTCGACGCATTCCACCTTTTTTCTCTTGATTTTGCCATCTAGAAAATGCAGGTTGGGATTTATGCTTTCCTTCCCCATACGTTATAAGTAACAACTAGATTCAGGGCACCTTAAAAGCTCCAGGAGTTATTTCTGAGAAGTAACAATGAGTCTCTCAAACTTAAATACCAATTTCTTGGGTTTTATTCAGTTGAGCCTATGTCTTTTTCTAGTTTACTTTCAGTCCTTCATATCTCATTGGGGCTTCAGGGGAAAAAAGAGTTAAACTCAGCAAAGGGCTTGAAACTGTCCTTGTCTTTAACTATATCTAAATTTGAAGATATTAGAAAAGGAACTTTGGTTTGGATCCAAAAGTAAACAGTGAAGCCAGCGATCAAACAATCTCTCACATGAAGTTCACAGTCTTGTTTCATTTCTTCAGGTTTATTTGTTGTTTCTTTAGTTTTTTGTTGTTTTTTTTTTTTAATGAGAAAAATGAAAGAATTGCTGCCTAAGACTTCCATTGTAATGCTTTTGAGGAGACTGACACTCTTGCAGCAGAACACATAAAATGAAACTAAAAACAAAACAAAAACTGACATAAAACCAAAAAACCAAAACCAAAACAAAAACAAATCCTGGATGTCTGGCTCTTATGTAACAAAACCAAAACAAAAAAACAAAATTTAAAAGCTCTATTTGAACTGCACCCCTTTTTTCCAATGTGTGCACATATAGACTTTAATTACAGGACTGTACACATCTTTTCAAATATTCAATATAATAGGATACACTTTTTTCCAATTTTTTTATGCTTACGTATAGAATAATTTAAAACTACTCTGTACTATTAATGTCCAAATACATTCCATCAAAGTCATTTATATGGAAAATATGAGGTAAAGGATCTCAGAAAACATATTACCAAGCAATGGTAAACATTTTCCAGAAAACAGAAGCCACCTATGTATCTAGCTAAATTAGTTAACTACCTAATCTCCTACATGGCATGTCAGAAAGATAGCAGTGCCTATCCAAACTGGTAAATGGGCTAAATAGTTACATGCTTCAGACCTTTAAGTCAACATAACATATGCTGTGATGTGAGGGACAGAGAGAAATTGTATATGGTTCAGTCCACAATCTGATTACATGTTAAGCACCTCCCAAGAGGCACTCAGAATTACTCAGAATTGAATTCAAGATGATTAAAATTCATACCATGGAGAGGAAAGACCTACATTAAAAAAGAAAAAGAAAAAAAGAAAAAAAAAGCAGCAGAAAACCTCAGTCACCTCTGACTCCTATTAGTATAAAACTAATGGAACTCCTCCAGACATTTCTTCAGAGTGACACGAGAAATAAGACACTGCCATGTTAAAAAGAAAAAAAGAATACTTAAAAAAAAAAAACAACAAAAAAACAACCAAAAACAAGCAAACAAAACCCAAAAACATCCTGCCAATAAATGGATGTCAGGGATACAAGAAGGAATGCTGTAACATCCCTCAAGTATGGATCTGAATCCTTATTAAACAAACATGAGAATGCTGAAAAATTATTTTAAGTGAGAGACTTATCTTACTGAGGTGAATAGAAATCCTGTTAGACTATTTAAAAGGAATAGGATTTTGGTTTGCATGATCATGTAATGAGAGTGTCAGAATTCACACACACAGAAGGACAGAGTTAATGCTCAACATGGAATTAACATTGGCATTTCATGACATGTTGAAGGATTTGCTGCGTAACCTTAGCATTCTCCAAATGCTGCCTTCCAACCAGAATTGCCTGGGGCATTGTAAAATTGAATAGTGGCAGGGAGAAAATATTCCTTGCTGCAGCTCCATTTGCCTGACTGTTTCTGAAACGTTTTTATCTCACAGCCCTTAAAATCTGGAAGAAGGTTCCTCTTTCTTGGATGTGCAGTTAGACTGGCACCCTGCAAAGCATCTTGAATGTAAGGTAGTGGAGGACTGACCTCCCCAGGAGCAGAGTGCTCTGCAGAACACGAGGGAGAGTCTGGTTGCTGCTTGCACTTCACTTGATGACAGAAGTGAGTTATGCCTGCTCTTTGCTTGCCGTAGCTTCATCACCAAGGGGAGAGTGAAAAAAAAAGAAAAAGAACAACCTTCCTATCCAAATCTCAGTCCTCTCAGTCCCTGCCTGCCTGGAAAGGATTTGAAACAAGAACAGCAATATTTTTAAGGGAAGAAGAGGGGGAGGAAGGAAACTGCTGCTCACTTCAGAGTGGTTCTATACATAGTATGTTAACATACAGAAAAAAAATCACTTCTTCACCTTTTTGCCACCCTGCGTGGGAATGCAGCTTCGGTCATGATTGCACCTCAGAAACTGCACAGTTAAAATCCTCTCCAGTGAGAAGGTTAGGAACTTGGCACATCTTATCTTACAAGATGCTCAGCAAGGGCTCTGCTTCCAGGAAGATGGGCTTCCTTTAGCAAGTGCAAATTTTTATCTGCTTTTCCTACAAAATGAATTGCTGCTACAAATGTGAGTTCCTGAGCCAACAATTCTTACTGCTGATACAAAAGCAGCCTGGGTACAGATTGTTTCAGAAAAAAAGGCTGGCTTTTCAGAAGATATCTGCTTATGAATGCTATGAAACCTATAAAGGACAGGAAAGTGCAGACTGAGAAGCTAAAAATAACTGCACACATGCAAATATCATGTACTCTATTGCTACCACAGCATCTTTGGCCATAATATAGCAATTGAATGAATATGAGAATTGCTATGGATCAAAACCAGTCTTTAGTCAAGTATTTAAAGACACTTCTTTTCCAGGAGAGAAATTCTACTTTGCAAGCCATGCTTCCTTTTTTATCAGAGGCCACAATGCCCAATATGCTATTTTCCAAAGACAAGAGAAGCTCCAAGCTAAGACCAAATTTGCCTAAAAGACAAAACTCACAAAGCCAAGCAGAGCTGCATGGCATCAGAATGGAAACTGTCAAATAACTTAAAACTTAACAAAAACCTTCAGATCTGCTGTAATAAGAAATATTTCTAATTCCAGCGTATCTTTCTTACAGCTCAACTGTGAAAATCACCAGCCCCAGTTCAGAAAAGCACCTAAACACAGACATAGCTGTGATCAGGAGAGCCATCCTCCATTTAACCTGATTATTCAGTTAGCAGGATTAAATTATAAGTGCTTAACTGTGCAAACACAAACATCAAAGTTTTTGTCTCAGTAGGAGAAATTAAGTAAGCTTAAATTCATTGTACTCATATATTTGAAGTTGTGGATTTCAGATTATTTCACTTCCTTTTCTGTAAGCATGCCATTTTGCCAAAAGCTCTCACTCCCTTGTTTTCTATGCCTTTGCAAAATATTTTAATGAGAAACTGTATTTACTGATTCTGTTATTACATAGAAAAATGGGACTTTCTTTCAAGAAGATGGTTACACATAAATACTATATAGAAACACAAGAGGGTTTTTTGTTTCCCTGGTTATCTTTTTTCCTTCAGAATTGCTGAAGGAGGCATATTATTCACCAGCACAAGCTAAGGCCTGGATTCACAGCTGTGCTCAGTGTGCTCCATGTGTAGTGACAGGAACTCGAAAGGAGCCATTTGGGATCCACTGATGTGAGGGCTTCCTCTCTACTGGCCTGGTGCCCATCAGAGGAAGGTAAAGCCACAAGGCTCTTATATGCATGGAGGGCAGCAAGGCCCCCAAGGTGCCAATCTGCCAGCCAGTCAACGTCAAAGCAAAGTTGTAATGCAGACATGCCCTCATTTTTACTTGTCACACCCCCAGACATCCGATTCTTTCTCTCTTGCCTTCAGTAGTGAAGATATTTAAGCAGCAAATGACATAGAACCATACAATCATAGAATCACACAATCATAGAATCACAGAATCATAGTATCACAGAATCACAGAATCATAGAATAATTTGGGATTTGGAAGGAATGGTAAAGATCACCTAGTTCCAACCCCCCTGCCACAGGCAGGGAAACCTTCTAGACCAGGTTTCTCAAACACAACACAGAACTTCTATTTTTCTGGGTCTAGCTGTTAGCTCTCGTGAAAGAATATTCATCATTATGTTTCTCTATTCCTATGTAAAGAAGTATACATAATATTAGTAATAAAATATTTTCCTTGTATCAGGGGTGGCAAAATACTTTCATTACTGAACCCTTTAAAGAAGCATAGGTCATACGTAAAGCTCTGAAAGCAAGGGGAATCTGGAATGTAATTGTTTTGAAGTGCTGAATTTTCTTTTTCAAACTATGAAACCTTGTCCCATCCTGGCTTAAGTCAACCTTGCTGACAGAATCACAATTTTGAGGTTGCATCCTACAAACACATAAAAAAGCAAGCATCTGCACCCTCCAAAGTTTGTTTAAATCCCCTACCTTTCCTACATAGAGTGGGTCTGTACCCATGTATTCTTCCAGCACAAAGAATTGATTCCACACCCAGCTGCGTTTGGTTCTTGTCCTCCCTGATTGAAAGTAGGGCTTTGACCTGGACCTTGAGAACTCTGCTTGATTCATCCCAGAAAGACAGAGGAAAAGAGCTAGAATCTGCAGAAAATGGCAGAACTCCACTTTGCCAAACTTCATCTTTTTTTTTTTTCCCTTGTGAAAGAAAAAACCTTGATGAGAATGGGCACAATTCCAGTTGTCTCAGTAGCTCTAGCCTCTGGCAGGGTGTCAGCTGGGAGTCCAGAGATAATAGTTTGTGAAGTGGTTGATTGGAAGAAGTCACCACTGCTGAATAGCCTTCACCAAAGAAATGGTGTAGTAGGTACCTATCCAGGAAAAAGACAAGAACTGTTGTCAGAACCTTTTTATTTACTTTTTTTTTCCCCCAAAATGCAAATTATTAGCAGCTTTCACATAATGCATCAAAAATGTTTATTTATGAATTTTCTTATCATCAACACAGTTGAGTTTACATAATAAGTGTCTGAGCATTTAGAGCATGTTCATTGGATAGCATTGCTACTGCTGATATATCTGTATTGGTAGCTATGAAGTTTTCTCATGACTGTTCTCTTAATACACCAGTTTCCACAGTACAGATGTTTTTTTTTTCACTTTAAAATAATCAAATCAAGTGTAGTTATTTACAGCTATTTTGTTTTGATTTTTCCTCTGTCTGTTACAGTCTGCTTTTACTGGCCATTACCATGATATAATTCCAAACTAGTTATAGGCAGAAAGTTATATTAACGGCAAGGACATATGGTAGCTAAACTCTCTTCCAGATAAGTGAAAAGTAAAATAAAGGAGTATAAGATGAATTGGAACATTCTGATTGATTCTTAGCCACTGGATACCAGATGTTATGATTTATCCTGATCTGAATCTGATCCACGAAAAACCCCACTCATTTTTACTACATTCCTAGAGAATGTATCAGGCACAGTAAGAAGCACGAAAGACTAATTTATATACTTTTACACAAATATGCTCAGAAAATCAGAGGACAATGCGATTTTGTGTTTTCAATGAAATGTTGATTTAATGACAAATGATTTGTCAGCACTAACACATAAAAATTTTATTTTTTGTGCATTTTTTTCAATTTTATTTCAAAATCTTGATCATTAAATAATTGGTAGAAACCACAAGAAAATAAAGATTTATTAAAAAAAAACCCAAAACTTTAATCAAGTGGGTTTTTTTCTGCCCTTTACAGTTGTGAGCCTTTCCTGGCCAAATAAAAATATATACTTACTATAATGTTTCTAAAACTACAAGTTTTGTCAATCAGAACCAAACATAGCCCTGTCTTTCAGGATATCACCCAGGTAAGCAATGCTCTCCCTAAAATAAGCATCCTCCTTGCCTGAATGAGTAATGAGGCAGTTGAGAAGTGTTTAAGAAGTGGCAAAAACAAGGTTAAAATGAGGATGAAATTAAAACAGATAACAAGGCATTCATTTGGAGGGAACCACTGCTACTTAGGAAGCAATGGAATAAAGAAGATTTCATCCTTTTTACATTTAATTAATCTAAAAAGGCTTGACATTAAATCACATACTCGTTAAATGCTCTAGGTACATCATCATTATAACCCTACCCACTGCTATTAAAACTGAGTGAAATGTGAACTTGGATTCCTATTTTCAGTATGTCAGGCTCTTTTAGCTGGAGAACACTTATGCATCGTGCTGCCAAAGGTACCTAGAAGGCAGAAACATGAAACAAATAAAAAGCTCTTCTGATTACAGACTGTATTTAAAGCCTTTTTATAGTAATCCCTTCTGTGGCACTGCCCTGCACCAGAAAGGCTTTACTTAGAGACTGGTGGGATAAACTAGAAACCCACTGAGCATGTTTGTTAAGCAGCAGCAATTTGAAAGCTTCTGTATGTGAAAATCCAGGGTCACCCTACAGCCAAAACAAAGAAAATAGACAATGTCTTACCTAAAGACCCTAATTTCCAAAATGTGATGCTATGGTTATAAAGGATGTCTCTCCAACATGGACCAAGGATATTTCCACAGTGGGATTAACATGCAGGTGTCATCCTCACTAGCAGAGCATAGTTTAAAATGGTTAATCCCAACAAGTCATAGCCCAGTTTTGATCTGGCCCTTTGAGTAAATCATGACCATATGCGATAGTAATTACTGAGAGGGTTGCCATTAGTGTTAAGAAGAGTAGCTGTGCTGCTTCTGTGCTATGTTCACTTCCTACCACACAGTTCAAATTAGAAAAGCATTGTTTGTAGTAGAGGCTGTTTGTGCACCCTTTACTTTCCTTCTCTGTGTCTAAGTTACATAGGGTTAAGGACATCTGATATTGATAAACTGTCAGTTTGTTTCAAAGATGCAGCAGATTGTTATTTAACAGATAAAAATACGAAATGGATTTTCTTCAGAAATGTCAGTAAAACATTTACAATATGTTGGTGTCTTTTCACTGAGCAGTTTGAAGTGACTTGCTCTTGCTCTGAACAGATATTTCAAACCTAGAATTGCTCTAACCTTTCTCTCAAGTAGTGTTCTCTTGTATCCTTTCTTTTACACCTGCAGGAAAGTATGAAAGCCACCATATGGAGTGCCATGGTCCCCAGACACACACCACGGCACAGAACTGAAAAATGCACCCAAAATACAAACTGAAAAACAGTCCATATGCTAGACAGCACAATCTGATAAAAAGCAGAATACTCACACCCCCTGAAAAAAAAAAAATGTTGTCATTTACTCACTCTCAAATACTTTCACCACATAGTTGCCAGAATTCTGATTGGTTTTATTCAGCTGTGGGGCAACACTTTCTGCTCTGGAACACTTTTTCCTCTCTTCCTTGCCTTTTACAGGATGTCTTCCTACTCCTCTTTAGAGCCCTTCTTTTTCATTTTTTATTTATAGCTCTTTCAGCACACTGTCTTTTGAGTGCGATACTTTCCAAAGCAAAATTAAAAGTGTCTGGTATTTAAAAATCTTTTCCTTTTGTGGAATAAATATTTGTTAAACTGCATTTTATTACCTTTCTAACTGATATAGATAAGCATTTTTATATGGAATTTTCAAGAAAATATATATCTAAATATATATACATGAATTTATATATTTGCATATATATATGCACATACATATATCTGTCCAAGTAGCACTTCAACATCACCAGTTCTATGAAGTCCATAAGCATGAAGTCCACAAGTCCACATAAGCAACTTCACAGCATTCATAAAACTAAAAACTAAAAGGTGCTGTTAGAATTTTTTCCTTGTCAAGGTATAACTTCAGTGTTTAGGGTTGCACTTGTAGCGGTGGATATGACTAACACTGAAAGCAACAGAGGTAATGCAGTGCTCTGATTTCAGTGCCTTCTCCGTGATCTGCGTTTACAGGATTGAGTGTGATCTGAAGGCAAAATTGACCTGCAACCATTTTGTATTTTGTGTTTAAAGATGTTATTGTATAAAATGCATCACTTTCTGCATAAACGGGACTCAGAGTACACAGAACTGAGAAATATTTCTGCTTAATTGATGCCATTAATTACCCTAGGACATAAGTGCACCTTTACATCTTATTTCGGGATCTGCAAAATGCTGCTCCTCACTGCAAACAGGGCCAAAATACAATCATGCCTCCTCACTCACACTTTGCCTACATAATTTAGGCTTTAAAAATAAAATTCATTTGTCTGCTGGTATATTTAAGTCACCAGGTACTACTTTTCTTGTATAAGATTTTATCCTCTATTTATTTTACATATAATCCTGACAATCAGAAAAACGTGAAAAATATAAATTATAAAAGCTGGTGTGTAATTCAAAGAGTATGTTATGTGATCTGGACTGCGTGCATAGTATGTCTTAATAGAACAGTAACATACTATGTGAACAACTATTAGAATAAAAAAAAACAACAACCCAACAACTAATCAACCAACCAACCAAATCACTAAAACATAAAAAATATCCACTAAATATCTGTCATATTTGTGTTCCTAAACAGCTGGTTGATGTATAAAACATCAGGCTGAAGAATATACATTTGGAAAAATAATAACCTCCTTATGCAATATACACCATAAAACCTTCCTTTTCTTCCATCTGCTATATAGAAATTGAACTATATTTAAGCCACAGTCTAGTAGCAGAAGTGTTCTGGTGAACACTGCTAATCTGAAAAATGTTACTACTCTACTCTGCCAAAACAATCTGCTAGTGTCAAAAAGACACTATTATGCACTGTCTCTGAGGGGCAATCTTGATTTGTTGAAAACATTCAGATCATGAATAAGATCCTAAGCTTTAAGGAACAGTTCCCCTCATTGCAAGCAATTAAGGGTAATTTACACCCACTGAAAATCTCTCTGAATATTTTGCTTTGCTCCATAATTTCTAAAACAACGCATCATGACTAGTCCTTGCTGTTTGTGTATAGCAGTAAGCACGAGTAGATATGGACAAAACATCTTCAGTCTCACAGATATCCTCACAGAAGCCCCCCCAGGCCTGAGATTTTCCCAGCCTTGTACGGCAGTTTGCTGAAGATTCTTGAGATTTATGTTCACACCACCTAACCTTTGCAGCCAAAGTGCAAATTCCTGCAGACTTCCACTCACACATTGCTACCAGTATCATAGTGCCAGCTGCACCTATGAACCATTTCCCTGTCCACCCCTTCAAGGCAGATTTTGTACTTCAAGGTATATTGTCCTGAAGTCTCTCCAATGTGTAAAATCCTTCAGGAAGAAGTGGAAATCCAAACCCTTTTCCATTAGTAAACTCCACCAGTCTGGATTACATTTGTCTATTTTGAAATCTTGCTGTCAGCTCAGGGCATTCACTGAAGTTGTAACTGAAGAGTTTTCCACTGCTATTGCCTCTTCCCCCCTGCCCCACCACTGTTTTCCTCTCATAAATTGCTTAAATTTTTTATACCATTGCAAAATTTATTGTGAAAACCTGGACCTCACTGACCCTGAAAGTGCAGCCCAGACAACACCCGCTAGTAAATCCTGTTTTAGCTTGGTCAGTAGTGGACAGACACTGTGTTTGTTGGATTTTTTTCCCCTACTTTAGTCATTCAATAAAATAAGACCCTGCATTTTGAGGTAACTCTGAGGGTAACTGTTGCCACTGGATCTTGAAGCATGATCCCTTAAACACTGTATAATGAGTAGGTGAGCCTCCTGAGAGCTGAACTACCCTCACTGAAATATTTATGTTTTGACATTCAATTTTACAGTGCCCATTGGAAAGGGTGTCACCCTCTGTGGCAGAGAAAATTCCCTTTCGTTATAAGCCTGCACCTCATCTATGTCACGCATCCTAAATACCGTAGGAGACTCCTTCACATGCACAAGAACTCTGTGATGCTTGAAACAAAGGGTTTAGAGACAATAACATGTCTAATAATGGTGTCGACTGCAATGTCTGGTTATCCTGGAAAGCGAGGAAAAAAAAGGCAGAGAAGGAGGGTCCCTTTAGAGTAAGTGAGGTGGGGACCCTTCCATGAAATGAAGCTTTGCAATATGATGAAACCTATTAGCTCCCTGTGTCAGATGACATTACAACTACAGACCATATCCTCCTGCTGCTAACTGGCCTAAATATGCACATGGGAGATCTGTAAATGTAGTGCACATCCTGCAGTCTGCATCTGGTTATCAAGCAAAAAACTATCACTGCTCCAAACATATGGCACTGTTACACTAAACTGGCTCCAATACCCTCTGATTCAGGTGAAAGGACCTGATGAGACAGCAGAAAAACACTAGGCATTCTTGAACACATGATATGGCTTCAAAAAACATGTGTAAAGAAAACCAGGCAACAGCTTTTGGTCTTTCATACTGCTCTGCAGCTGATCATAAGATTGTTAGAGTGCTAAGTTGTTTGGGGTTTTGGTAATTTTCTTTCTTCACCCAAGAAAAATTAACAAAATAAAGATTTTTTTCTTAATATCATTTTTCCATGACAAAGTGTTTTCTTGCTTTATCACCTTGCTGTGGAACATTTTATAGATCTGGAAAGGAATATGCTAATTTGATAAGTTATTGAAAAGAAAAGCCAGCAGTATTTGTATGTCTGTGACCAATCAAGTCAAATATTTAAATTTCTACAAGGTCAATTTCTTCAGCCTCATTTAAGCTGAGGAACTTCGCATAATACCTGGGGATGACTTTTTGCAGAACCACTGAATTCCCAGAGGAGGCACTCCTGCATTACTGCTTAGAGTTAAGCCTGGTTTGACACAAGAACTGAAATAACAATGATCTATTTTATGCACCTTTCCTCAGCTAGAGTTTGACTTTTATTGACATCAGAAAACACTACGCAGCAGTAGCATGAAAGCGTACATGTAAAAAAAAAAAGTGCATGATAAACTAGACTGAATGGCTCAAGAAAGGCCTTCACTGACGAACCACAGAACACATCAGATACTGAAGCCAATACTCAAAATATATACAGAAGCTTACTAGCCAACCTGATACTAGAACTGACTCCCAGGCAGTACATTTAACAGCAAACCATTTGAACTTTCAAATATTTTCTATTTGCATTGCGCATTGGAGTTAATTTGTGAGTTGAATACTTTTGAGGAAAAGCTTAACCAGGTTTATAGCAGAGACTTTAATTTAGAGTAGAGCAATCTAAGGGTTTGCATTAATAATGATTTTCTTCAGTCAAGTCTCTGACTGTTGAAGAAACATAGAAAATTATGGACACAACATGCACACACACAGTTATACATTCTTCTCATCAGATAATTCACGGATAATATCCAGTTACACAAATCCTTTACAATTACCCTTTTAGATGAAAGACAGCAATGTTTTGCTATTAGATCAATAGCAAATAATCAAGAGTCTTTTGTTATTAAATCAGCAAAAGTAGATTTAAGAGAGTTGTGAGGCTGTCATCTGACTCTTAACACAATTCCAATGACCTAAATAAGCCTTTAATTACAGCAAGAACTCCTATTATAAGGGTGAAATATGCTCTGATTAAAATAGCAATCTTTAATGGCTTTTTGCAAGAAAATAGTCAACATTACTTATGCTTGTATCTTTATTAACATTAACTGATGCACACTTCTAACATGCAGTAGTAGCTCAGATTATTACCTTTGATATATCCCTATTATTCCAGGTAGTTTTTAATCTATATTAAGGGCTCAAACCCAAAATACTTCACATGCTTAATATCAAAAGTTGTCAGAGGCAGCTTTTAGCTCCTTTGCTCTTCTCACTTTGCTGTGGATTTTATCATAATTGTTTTTTAAATCTTACTTAGCCCCTCTTCTTGACCCTATAAAAGTGTGCCTAGATTAGATCCCCTGGTAGTTGCAGGCTGAAGAGCTAGAAAAGCATGCACAAGGACTTTAAACAGGATCTTACATTTGGTCCCTAGATAGCTCTTTTGGATTTGTTTAATGGGGTTTTTGTTCCTTTTTTTCCCAAAAAAAATGATAACTCACCAGTCACATTGAACTAGTTCTAATGAGGCACAGTCATATTACTTCTGAACATCCTCACCTCACTTTTGCATCTTTAAAACTGTTATGATATCACTACGAGCAAATGAGCATCATTTTCCAACTGTTCTTTATCTCTTGACCTGTTGTATCTTGAGTAGTGATGCTCTAAGCAAACTAAATTTACTTATGCAACTTCATGCTATTGCCCATCTTGAATAGCTCTTCACCTAAGAATATGTAGACCTATCTTTTTCAGAAATGGGGTAAATATCCAGCTTTCACCAGTAAAAAATCCCTGCTAACTTTAAATTATGTGACAGAGGAACAATTAGTAAATGCAATACAGGTACAAAACTAAAATCATATATCACTGTCAAGAAGAGACTGCTTCAGAAACTGGCATTCTTCAGAGTTTGGCTGTAAATTTGCCCTGGAAAAGTGATTTATTTTCTGCAAAGTTGTACAATCACCTATGTTTTAGCTGAAAAATGGAAAGGCAGTATGTCTTGTTAGAGAGACCATGAAGTATATGCTGTCCTTTCAAGTCCCTGCTTTGACTTGAGAACTTATCTATCAGAACACAAAATTTTATCCTTGGAATGGAAAAAGATTAAAGTGTCAGCATTTCAGTTCCCAGAATCAGAATGTCTCACTAGTTTTCATCTCACGTCCCTCCCTAAATCCCCTGATTTGTCAGGGAAGATATCATCTGCAGAATCTTGGCTCACCTGAACTACCTCACCTTTTGAAATCACGAGTATAAAGGTTAAATCTCACCCAAAAAGGGATAATTTTTCTTTCATTTAGCATCTAGAAGTCTGAGGATCCAGGTCACAAACCACTTGCTACTGGTGCAAACAACGTATTGTAGGAAAGCAGGACATGCCTCTGTGTGGATACGTGGGTAGATGGGGAGACGGGGTGGAGGGGGAAGGGTCGGTGTCAAACAGCCAAGCACTGCAGATCTAGTCTTACCAGCTGAATACTAATCAAAGAAAAAAGCTCCCATCATTTCAACATTTGCAAACTCTAGAACACCCTTGACATAAAAGGGGCAAGCTCTGTGACATAAGTCAGGAAATTTCCTGTCCCCTGTAATCTTTTGCTCTGTAGCATCAGTTCCGGACTCTCAGGCGAAGCAACACAGGTGCTTTGGCTCCGCAGAAAGGACTGAGACAGTCGGGACCTAACGCTCCCTGTATTTTCCAGAAGTCTGTGGTCCTCCCTTCCCCCAACCTACTTCCCCGCTTGTGCCTGTGAGACTTCTCCGAAGAGTCGGAGAGATACTATTGTTCTTATTTTTCAGAAGGTGCACAGACGCCTATAGCATTGGCGCTCTTACTTCCCATGGTTCCCCCGCCACACCTGGTGCCGGTGCTCCGGCTTCTCCCCTCTCTCCTCCCCAGACATGCTGCACGGGCCGCTCCCGGGCGCGGGCACGGGGAAACTTGCGGCTGCGGCCGCGCCGCCACGCGGAGCCGTAGCCCCTTTGCCGAGCGGGAGCAGTGCCGGGGCAAGGCGGGGGAACTAAGCCGCGCAAAGCCCTCTCCTGCTCCCGGTCTCCCTCTGTCTACGTGAGAGGGAAAAGGGGTGAGGAAGGCACGGAAAGGCACAGGTGCAGCCGGCACTTACCTGCTCCCCCTCTCCCTCGGCTGCACAGCGCAGTGAGTATTTTAATCCCAAGGACCCACGGTGCATCCGCCGCGAAACGATGGCGGGATGCTCCCAGGCGGCGGCCAGGCTGCGGGCGGCCGGGCGCCTGCCTGGCATGGGGGCTGCGCCCCCCGCCCGCGCACTCGCCCGCACCCGCGGAGGTAGGACAGCCACCGCTCCGCTCCTCCTTCGCAACACAGAGCGGCACGGCACTGCACGGAGAGCTGCTGGGCACACGGTGGGAGAAGTGGGTGCCGGTGCCAAGCCCAGCTACGACTGGGTGCGGATCGTGGCTGCTGGAGGAGGAGGAAGAAGAGGGAGGGAAAGAGGAGGGAGGGAGGGAAGGAGGCAGAGGAGGTGGGGATGCTGCTCTGGGCAGGGGATATCACGGCTGGGCGGCCAGAGCGGGCTGCCAGTTCCGTCCGAGGGCGCGAGGAGGAGGTACCGGGACTATTTGTACCTCCCGAAAACCCAGCAGTGGCTATTGAGAAGGGATCCAGCAAACACGCAGCTTGCTCGACCCCACTCCTCACGCCGCTCCTCCTCCTCCTCCTTGACAGGATATACAGATGGAGTGCTTTGGATAAAAATCAGGAGCCGGGCTAGGGGGTGGGGCGGGAGCCAATGTATCTCTCGATTTGTGTTTGAAACGCGGAGCTCAAGGAGAGAGTTTAAGAAATTTTTTATTCCCTCTCCACCCCCCCTCCACACTTGTCCTAGAAGCCGCCTTGAGCTCTCGAGGCATGAAGACGAAGTCGCAAAACTAATTTGAACTTGAGGGGTCCCCAGTTTATAGTTCTGCCCTTTCAGTCTCCCCAGCCTACCCTGCTTCCACTTTGAAAATCTAAACCTCACCCCCCGACCCATTCGCCTGGCCGGCATGGGGAAGCTGGGGGCCGGGGTCAGCGGACAGGGTCGGGGTCCCCTCTCCTGCTCCTGGGGCAAGGCTCGGACTTGTCACCGAGGGGCTCAAGGGACCCAAAACCCGTCACCCCTGCTGCCTTCTGCCTCTCCAATGCTGCTGTCCCTCCTATCCGCCCCCTGTTTAAACCGGGATGGTGAGGGAAGAGGATAAAATTTAAAAAAAAAAAATAATAAACCCCACCTTGGAACAAGTAAATCAGGTGTTTTCACAGAATGAACCGCAGGGAGAGGCGGCTGTGGCCGTGCTGAAGCTCAGCGGCCGGGTGGGAGGAGAAGGAGCAGTGTCACGCTGGGGCTGATGCCTGGCAGCGTCCACGCACAGCCCCGCAACCCCGGAGCTGCTTTGGGAAATGAATACCTGCTTTGTTTGGACTTGGTCCGGCTGGGAAAGCTGCAGCACAAACTTTCTGCCTCGTTTCAGCGCTGCTGAAGCCTTTTGGGTCTGCAGAATGAAACAGATCTACAAATGAAACATGATCACCCAGATGTCAGGACGCCTCCTGAAAAAAAAAAAAAAAAAAAGAAAAATCAGGCAGAGGTTCCAAATGTTGGCGGAGCTGCTGAACTGACATTTTCCACGGGCAAAAATATTTTTAACACGTACTGTTTTTAGAACAATGGATCACACCAAGGGCAACTGTAAGGAATGAGCTTTGACCAATGTTTTCTGGTTTTTGAAAAGCATTCTCAACAGACTATGAACAAACTAGTAACATGCATTTATAATTAATGTTTATTCCTATACATCGTGCTGCAAAGCGTGGTGTCAACAGTAATTAATGTGAGGATAAAATAACAAAGTAATTGGTTTAAATCACGAAGGATTCTTTTTTAAAATAATTTTAATTTCTGAATTTGTTTGCAGCCTTTGAATACACAGATGCAAACAGGCATGAGTATTTTAATAAATATAATATGTAACTGTTATGTGTTCCTTGTCTTTTAGCTTCACTTTCAGACATGTGATTTCCAATGTCACCCTTCTAATCGGGAAAGGCAATACAGCATCATGGCATTTGTGAACAGAAGAAGTGGTTTAAAGAGGAAAAGTAGAAGCAATCTTCATCCTCCAAGTTACGGAGCATCTGAGTGCATGGTTACAACTTAATAAGATGTGTTCGGGCAAGAAAATCCTGAAACATGATTGCACACAGTTGCTTAAGATTGTAATTAAGGATTCTTCTTCCTTTTGTTCTCCTTCCCCCCAATCCCTAATTCATCTTTCACAAGTTAATCAAAATAACATTCTTTGTACTGATCCTTAGAGGACAAGGTTCAAGGACAGATTATCTTTTTTTTCATAACTGAATACCACAAACACCTATTCTTCATCTTCTTTCAAATTCATTCTGAGATGTAACCAGTACTTGGAAACCTTATCTTTTCCGACTTAATTCAGTAGCTATGACTTCAGTGGTGAAAATAGAACAGTTTAAAAAAAGAGAGAAAATAAAAAAAAGAGAGATCATTATTTGGAAGTAGGATGATATAAAAAAAAAATGAATCTAAAAGGGTTCATGAGCTTCATAAACTTTACCTAACAAACTTCTGTTTGCTCTTCAGGTTAAAACTAGGGTCTAAATAGTTTTACAATTACTTAAAAATCTTTATAAAGAAAGGATTCTTACCTTTTTTTTTTTTTTTAATTATGATCCAGATATTACTAATGGAGAATTGGAATAGCCAATTATCACCCAATTAAAAAGCTTTCATGTGTAGACCTCCACAGAATATTTCATGATATTCTTACTAATGTAACAGACTTCTCTCAAGGCTGTGCTTTATGTTTCAAAAAATCTATATTCTCTCAAGCAAAACCCTTCATTAAACTCTATGTCTCTGAAAATATTTGAACTTATTTTTACTATGTTGAAAATAGGATAGATATTTTTGTCTGATTATTTTTCTAAATGCTTATGCTGTCATATCAAAATCAAATGTATTAAACTCTTTAACCTTCATGGGAGCAAAACAGCCCAGTGATTCCAAGCAAAAAATGTGACTAAGCAGACCAATTTAATTTCATTGCACAGGCAGAATAAAATACAAAGAAGCAATTATTCTTCGTCACTTTTGGCAATCTACCATTTATAGTAACATAAGCAAATGTATATTTTTTAATACAATTTGTTCTTGACTGTCTTGCTTGTGGGGTTTTGCCAAAGAGTCAGTCCATTCCAATGCATTGACTGTAATCGTTTTGGCTGTAATCCATACTCACAGTACTGTTGCATTTCTTTCTAATATGTTTTGTAGTGTATTTAGTCATCTTGAGAGGTATGGATGTACCGTTTCCACAAAAAGGTCTACGATTTGTAAAAACAAACATTAGACCGTGCTAGACTGTCTCTTAGATAGGCCCTATAAAGACTGACCTCAGGCACCAATGGGTGCATTGGTACTGGCATTTTTCCCATCTTTTGACCTCTGAAAATGTCAAGGATGCATCTTCCCAGTACAAGCTGTGTTGCTCTTCTCTATAGTGGATCCATAAGCAGATGTAGGACCACAAAACCTGCTCTGAAACATGCTTTGAAATGTGTCTTAGACAATGAGAGCTTTGGTGTCCACTGCTTAGGGAAGATTTTGACCTAAGGCAAAACCCAGAAACTTTTTATAGTTGTCTTCAGAGACACTGAAATCTCTTAACATTAGCATTGCTACCTGAACACTCATAATATATATTCTGAAAAAAGGCAATATCTGGTAACTGCTACTGGATGCTGGTAAATCATCAACTGTGTGGGCAGAAATAACTTCCATTATGCACTCAGCGACAGCTTGCAGAGTTCCTTCAATGCAAGAATATATTATGCTCAGAGGCAAAATGCTAACTTTTCCTTATGTTTCCTAAAAATTTATATGGATATTAGTCTTTCATAGGCAAGTAGGAGAGCTTGCAGTTTAAGATCTTTTTTAAAAGAAAATTCTTCTTACCACCATTAGCACATGGTTTCGCTGTACTAACTATAGAGTACTAATGCCTCTATAAACGACTCTGAGTTAAGGATTCTGCTGTCCATAGGTATTATTTACAGGTGGCTATAATTCTGATGTGAATTTCTCACCTTCTGTATCACATGGGAAGTCACTGTCCGTTGCTGTGGTTGCACTAGCTCTGATTCAAATCTAGAACTGAGCATTGCTGCCTTCAGTCTTCTTTTGTTTTCATTTCTACAAATTGCAGAAGGAAAAACAAAAGGACTTTTGAAATTGAAAACACTGCCTTTATCAAGATAACACAGGAATGTCTCTGCCTTTCTGTGTCCTCCCAGTTATGGCTTAATTCCCTATTTAAACTGAAGTTTTGAGGCAATTACTTTGTTGTCTATATTCCAGGAGCTTTTTCCCACCCCCTGTAGAGCCATGGTAATTAGGGGGACCTACCTAATAACCCCCAAAATTTCAGCAACCTGATTTTTAGAAGACATTTTTTAGAATATCCTCAATAGATAGGGCAGCCAAAAAGACACAATAGTATGAACTAAATTGTAGCAAATAACAAGTGGTGATTCAACCGGGGAATTTCTCTCTCCACAACCACCCATTTCATTTAGGAAGTGTTAGCTTATCAATTCAAAATTAACATCATGGCGTCACCTATTCTTTTCTGGTTCCTTTCTACCTTCACTTTAGATTCCACAATCTTTTGATGGCCTATTTGGTCCATGTATACTGCCAAATCTGTGTAACTAACTGATATGTTTGAAAGAATAGTATTCTTCTTCAGAAGTAAATCCAGTTAATCTAAGACAATGCAATTGTAAAACTAATAAGTTACTGTTGCTTAAGGTAATAAATGTGAATGCAGATAAAAATGGATTTTATGTTGTCAGGAAGATCAGAGAAAGGCAACAGTTGTAGGAAAGGAACCTGACGCTGTAGATAAGAAACAGGCTTGTTTAATCCAAAATTAAAAGGAAAAGATTCTGCCATTGGAGGTAATTTATTAGTCACACAGCAGTAAGAACAAAACAAGGAGAATCAGTTGAAAAAGAGCTTCATGGAAAGAATTTTGAAAACCTCACAAGAAGACAGTGGCAAATGGCAGGTAGGCTGTCAGAAGACTGAAAAGAGAAATGGAGAATTTCATTACGGCCACACAGGAATGGGCTATTTGTACAGGGAAGGATAAATGACTTAAAAAAGCCTTAAGACCAGAATGTAGGCTGTGTGGCCAGGCTCCAGATGTT